TATCATTCTATAAAAAAAAGAATTTTTTTTTGACCCTTTTATAAGGAAATAAGATAGACGCGACATTACTTTTGGATACACCTAAGTAGATGAACTGAATAGAGAGTTATGCTTTAAAATTAAAAAAATAAATCGTTAATATAAACTTTACGTAAAGATTTTATTCATATATATGAAGCCGTACATACAAAGTAGACTTTAATAGTGACTTCTCTCTCGGAATTAAATTGTCAAATCTAATCAATTTATGCAATGCAATCTCAAAACCCACTACTAAAGACTTCATGTAAAACCTGGAAAAGACCTTCCGATCAGAACATTGTGGCATCTTGCTAATAGGAAAATAGCTCTCTGTCAAATAGACTTTACATATATCTCAGTAGAGAAAAAGGATAGAATCTTGTATTTCTTATTGAAAGATGCACTATTGGATTCTCTACTGACTGCAAAGAACGAAACAAATTCTTTTGATTTATTATGATAAAATTTTAGATGACTACAAGTGACGACTTGTGTGATGTTGCTATTTCCTATTATAAAAATGAGACCAAATGCTTTAGAATTTGACAGTATTTTAGCAAGTAATGTTCATTGTGTTATGATGTATTGCACAGTAAAGTATTATGAATGAACTGGCTCTATTAAGGTGCAAAAATAAAACTAGACAAACAAAACATATTGAATCCAAGATCAAAAGAAAAAGCTCACGAATAATGGCTAAAGATTGGATGAGCAATAAAACAACAACCAGGCGAGTAATCAGGACAAATTTAGGATGAAATGCTATCGAAGAATCAGAGTTCAACATATTCACGATCATCCAAAACTTATTTGAAAACAATGTTACGGATGGATTAGAAAGGTTTTTAAGCTGGAACATGTGCATAACATAGTTATCCATTCAGTTGAAAAGCACAATGGCAGATTGATTTTCGATGAGCATTCTCGCTGTTGATAGTACTTCACGTCGGTTTTCGAAAAACTGTATCATCATGTCACCAAAGTTTTTGTGTACAATAAACAAACAAGTTTGCAAAATGTTGTAGACATTTTTTCATGTTAGTATGGTGGGAAATAGCAGTATCACCTATATCATCATTTTTAGTCGTCTAAAAATCCATCATAAGAAGTCAAAAGAATATTTTTCTTTCTTTAGAGTTTGTAAAGAATTCAACAGCGCATCTTTTAAAAAAATTCAAGATTCCATCATTTCTCTGTACTGTAATATATGCACAGTAAAAGGGTGGCAATCATTATATCGCTTCATTCATGATAATATTCAGCATTTAAAAGTGGAAGTCAACTGATAGCGAAAACACAGAAAGTCTCATTTGTAATTTTCTTGTCAATAAACTTTCGTAAGTCAATTTTTCCTCTTGCGTTTTGGTGATCACGGAAGAAAATAAAACAACTAACCTAATTCGTTAGCCAGCTCTCTTGTTCTCTTCAGCAAGTCAAAATCAGCGAGGGGAAGCCATTCAATACCGAACCACACTTGAATTCTCCCGTTCGCCCTTCCATTGTGATTTCGAAAGGCGGCTAGATTGTCTTCGAGAGTGTCCAGATTGAACTGTTTGAGAGCCACATCATTTGAGAGAACAGCTCGAATTCCAATCTCATCAGCTGCATCGGCAAGACCATCCAATTGTCTGTACATATCGTTCACTGTACCTGTTCCGTTCTTGATCGCCTCCATATAAGAAGCCATAGCAGCCCAATAAGCGGCTTTTCTGTCCAGTGCCCGAATCGATGGATACCAGCATTCATCGAGATATTCCCATAGGGGAAGGTGATCATTCCAGCCCTGATAATTTGTGAGACCTTTGATCACAGAAAGAACAGAAATAGTGTAACACATACCTTGGCAATGGCAGTATGAAAGTGCAAATCGACGAGTGCTGGCATGAGCAGTTTTCCAGTCCCATCGATCACTTCATCATCTGTTTTTGATTCAAAGTTTTTACCATCATGAATGATTCGTGTGAAGCGTCCATTCTCGATTACTACCGTAGCATTCGAATAGTAATTGTTCTTCTCGTCGAGTGTTAGAACAGATACATTTTGTATAACAAGACGCAAGGATGACGACATCTTCTTAACTAACTATTCAATTAGGAGTCCAGATTGACGATTTATCTAAATATGAGACACCTTCATTCAACAGATTGTGCATATGTTCATCAGCGTGTAGCTGAGACTTGGATGACAAAGATGACCTTTCTGTATGAAAAAGTGTAAAAACAAAACTCAGACGTTGAAACAGTATTCAACATGACGTGTTCGGCGGAAACAAGACTATGTAATATATTGTGCATGGAGTGTCAGCTCATGATCAACACCACTATCTAAAACTGACTGACGGCACAGCCGGCTTTAGCGTCAGCGGACATAATCTTCATACGTTCTTCCTCTCTCTAGATTTGAAGTCGCGAAAATTCTTGCTCTCTGAAAACCTTTAGATACTGTGTATGTTGTTGTTTCAACTGTCTTCTTTTCATTGATGAAGAAGCCTCTCAAACTGTCAAATTGCTTATAGGTCCAGACTGTATTCAATAGATGGGTCCTAGTGAACAATACAAAAGGTCTACAATGATTTGGTTGCCCAGAGCTGCGTTCTTGAGATATTGGAGTTTAATTGTAAATTTCGGTGAAATTCTGTGGTTCATTTTTGTGAAGCTTTCGTTTGGAAATGTATAGTAGAACTGATGATTTTAGTCTAGTAAAGAGTTAAAGAATTCGCATAAACTGCTTATCATCATTAGTGATCGTAATGTATAGTGACAGAGAGAAGTTATTCCATTTAAAATGTTTTATTTTGAAAAGAATACACCATAAGAAAAACTAACCATCAAGAAGATAATAATAAACAAAAATATGACGAGGGGAAAGGGTGGCCAACTGAAGAAGAAAAACAAAACAACTGAAGAAGATCAAAACAAGATATACTAAAGCGGAGAGAAGAAAACCAATAACAAACAGTGAGTAAAATTAGCGTCATAGAGTGACATCTGTTGATGCTAACATTTGCAGATCACTTTAGAAGTCAATTTTTGAATTTCAGCGTTAAAGTCTGCACAAATAAAATTCTCAATAGCATCAGTCTATTGCGAAAGTTCCAGATATTTTAGTATTTGAAATGATCAGATACGAATATCGAACATTCTGCTATATGAAAGACCAAATTTGTTTTTATATATACAACTCAGACTAGGTGATGCTAAAAAGTCTGAAAAGTTTACAAAGAACTGGTTCTAAGGGGAAGAGCAAAAATTCCAAACATCGTTGTACTTCAGCACATTCCAAGACTGTGTCAAAACTATCCTTGAATCTTTCTTAGCTAGTTTAAGTCTATTATAAACATGTGTTACAAAAATGTCAGCTTAAGTCCATTTTGTATCCGTCGTCCTGATAATAAAGCTCGCATACTTCATCGTACTCCACTGATACTCAAAGGTTAGTGATAGACTATAGATAGCTTAGAGGTCCTAGAGAATAGGTTTCGCATTTCATTGCGTACGATGAAATAGGAAATTCTCGCTTTTGCGTCCTTGACTAACCTTGCTAAGACTTTATATGTGGAAAGTTTTAGGTGAAGCTCAAAAGTTGATTTTGAAGATGATCCGCATGGGACCATACTATTTGCTAAAATACATAGACAAACTTTAATATCTTAGGAACTTAGGGTTGAATAACCAAATCATTCTAGACGTTTTGCATTGTTAATTAGGATTCATCAAATGACTATAGTTAAGACCTAAAAGTGATCTCACATTTGAAGAGATTTCCTTGTTAGATCGCTTAGTAATTTTTAATCTCTGATTTGACAGATATGAGTTTAAACCCATTCGTATAGATATGCAAACCTGATTTTATCAATAATATTCAATCAAATGAGGCCGGTATAATCCTCTGGATTTCGGCAGCCAAAATCATACCTATCAAAACTGTTCTAGGTCATTTTGTAAACCAGTCAAGTGTTTTTCATTAAAAGGTGTAGCTAAGATCTTGATCTCGTCTTATATGCTGGACATCGGACTACATAAGTACATGCCAGTTTTCCAAAATTTTCATTCATCACAGAGAAACTTTGTTTTTGCTGGAATTTCGAAAGTTCTTCCTAAAATCGGATTATATCTCGATGGCTCCTAAGTCAGATTTAACTTTTCAACCAAATCATGACCACATTCGGCATCAGCATAAGCGACTAACGAGGAAATGTTCCCAATTGTCTAATCACTTTCCACTTCAGAAATATTGCCATATCGATTGACCTTGATATTAGTGGATAAGTCTGGTTTTGTTTGGTTTTTCATTCTTCTCTTGGCAAGTTATGAGTGTGTTACTCGATTATCGTGCGATGAATACAAGATCTCTAAGAGCCTGAATTATGGAGTTGCGAACTGACATTTTGTTCATAGATAGGTTTCGTAGTTACTACAAACTCTGTGAAATTTCAGCTAGAACGAACTCAGGCTTATCGAGTTTTCCTCAGTTCAAAGAGACATCTTGTTTGGATTGTGTTTCAAAACAGGAACATTTAATATGTTTTTGTACGTTTGTATACGGTTAGAGATAACACCATTCCAATGGGTGCCTCTATAATTTCAAATAGAATAAATAATGAAGAGCTTTATACCAAATGAAAGCTCATCGAAAATGAGGTTTATTGGTATTAAATAATAAGGGTTATGAAAACTTTCGTATCTTGAATTCTCAAAATTTATAGAATTTAGTAGAATACAATCGTTTTAATCTACTTTTAGTGAGCCGTAAGCCAAAGAAACAAAGGAATTTTCTTTGGAAAAATGGACAAAAAGCATTGTTCTAGGGATCATAAGACGTAACTCTAAAAGATGTTATTATTTTCCTTCTGTTAGAAAGTTATAGAAGAGAACAAATTAATCAGTTGCCCATTAATGTATATGGTCATTTTCTGGTCGATATACTTTACAAAATGAATCCATCCTTGTAGTGAATTAACGAAGTTCGATTACTTGAAAATGGCTGGAGCTAATAATGCTGAACAACAGAGAATGATTGACAGAATTAAATGCATCACTTTTTGTGAAGCTCGTGATGTCGGTATGACATTTATTAATAGACAATGGGCCGCGGAGAAAATTCATCGCACGACTCGCTTTGTCACAGAATAGTAGAATCATTCTCAAAGCAAGTAGCCAACAAAGAAAAAGTTCTTCTGTCGTGGTAAAGAAAATAACAAAAAAGCAAACATAATACGTGCTTCTACGAACAATCAATAATTACCAATACAGACAAGGATAAAAGGTATCTCATGTCATTCAAAAATCGTTAAAATCGAAACTCATATATCAGATCCATTATGGCCGTGCGATTGGTCAAAAGATTAGATTGAAGAGGACCTTCTTTATCTCGCACTATCTGATAATTTTATGTCTGAATTGTCCGTAGATCAAATTATCAGATTGTTAAAATTTGAGCGAGAAGTATCGAAGATTTTGAATAATATGAAAAATACCGTGAATGCTTAAAAGTCAAGTATGCATTGAGGTTTTTGCTATGTTCACTTGCAAGAAATTTCCTGGGGTGATTAAAGATGACGATGAGTCTTGAACTGCTCAATATTTTCATGACATGATTTTAACTCAAAACGGATTTCCTTTCTTAAACAATGAAGAAAAACTTATTGATTCTGATAAAGCACTGCGTGTGCAAGCAAACAAGAACCAACATTTGCTTCAAGGCAAAAACTTAAGGTTTGGAATAATGATATCTGATCCGGCAATTCACCAGATCTCAATGAGACAGAACATATTGCATCAATAATCAAACATGAAGTTGAAAAAATGCTATCAAAAACTGGACATAACCGTTATCTTGAAGACAAACTCAAAATGTACATTTTAGATGTTTTGATAGACAGAGAAACCGATACGAAGTTATGTGAAACTCTTTTATCTTCGTGTCCATTTCTTCTTTGTGCAGTAAAGAACACTAACTGTCGTCATACTCATTATTGATTGTATTCATTAAAAAATCAAAAAAATCAATTATTCTGTAGCAGACTTATTTTGAACTTTATCTCATGAATAATTTTTCTCATAATTGTGGTTGATAAAATATTACAAATTTAGAGAGTTTAACATATGAAATTTTCCATATCCCTTATTATTTAGTACTAGTAAACCCAATTTTCGACAAGATTTCATTTGATATAAAATTTATTGTTTACTCTATTTGAAATTATAGCGGTATTCCCCTGGAATAATATTATTACCAATAGTGTACAGTAGATGTGAGTCTATTGTTAAATATGTGTATTGCTCGGAATGTGAGTGCGGGTATACTATTTGATTTCATCAAAACACACTGAGACCCAATGATGAAGCATGGAACAGGATTCTTCTGCATGAAATATGGATTTCGATTTGTCGCAGATGCAAGTTATATGCTTCTCGATCGAATGTCATCGTTCTAAAGCACACTATTGTATGATAATATTTGAACTAAGCCAGTTCGAAAGAAAGCTTTGTCCAATCAGATCGATCTGCATTGATGAAAAGGCTCGAATTACTATCCTGATAATATGACTTGTAATTAATAACACACATTGTTTTTCTCTTACTCGCACTCTTAAAAAAATTGAATAAAGAAAAAAAACGTTCGTATCATCCTTAGGCGTCATTTTGTTATTTGAGAAGCACAGCAAATGCTCCTTTTTGAGTCGATATCATGACAAAGATAAAAAAAATGGTTGTCCTTAGTATTTTTTTCTTTTTAGTCAATACGATCCAATGATGGCAATGAAGTTAATAGTTGTGTTTTTATGTGTATCGTTATATACAGTTGCTCATGGTTTTCAATGTCCAGGTGATGGCCTTTTTGCCAATCCAAACAATGAGCATTCATTCTATCAGTGTGCGCACGGCATAAACTATTTGATGCAATGCCCATCTGGGCTAGTTTGGAATCAACAAATACAAGTTTGTGATTGGAATACTCATAAACGTATGTTCGTTCTCGTTGTTTTTTTATTTGTATCTTGAATCATATCGTTTGTTTGTCCTCCAAAGTCATGTATGATGTGCTCCGTTAATTAGTCTTGTTTCTGTTTAGCTACTATTAATTGTGACCATGCGAACCAAAACAACTGTCGAGAAACAACTGAATGGTCAACAAACGGAATTCCTATTGTTGGTTCCGACAAAAAATTCGGATACGATGCATTTCATTTGGGCTCACCTTTCGGCTTATTCGTTGATGATGAACGCGGCAATATTTATGTGGCTGATACTCATAATCATCGAGTTCAGAAGTTCAATCTTAAAGCCATTGGTAGTGGTGGAATCACTGTCGCCGGTGGAAATGGAGCTGGCAATGGTTCGAATCAATTAAATATGCCTTGGGTCGTTTATGTCGATAAAAATGAAAATGTATACGTAGGAGATACCGATAATTCTCGTATTCAAATGTGGGCAAAAGGTGCGACTAGTGGCGTAACAGTGGCTGGAGGACGTGGAAAAGGCAAAAATCTTAATCAAATTGGTGCTTGTCAAGGTATTTTTGTTCATGAAGAAACGAACACATTGTTCATATCGGATTTTTACAATGATCGTATTGTCAAATGGATTCCTGAGAAAGATGAAGGTGTCATCGTAGCAGGCACTGAAGTTGGTGGGTCGAGCGCAAATCAGCTGAGTGGACCACGTGGAATCTTTATTGACCAATGTGAGACAATCTACATCGCAGATTTATGGAATAGCCGAATACAAAAGTGGGAGAAAGGCGCCACCGAAGGTATTACTGTGGCAGGCGGTAATGGAAAAGGTTCAGCTACTAATCAACTATATGATCCTTGGGATGTCGAAGTCGATCAGTATGGCAACGTTTATGTAGCCGATACAAGCAACAATCGAATTATGAAATGGGCTCCAGGTGCAACAAGTGGTGTGATAGTGGCCAATGGAAACGGATGGATGACCGATCCCGGAAAATTCAGGGAGATTCATAGTATAGGATTGGACAAGGAAGGAAATTTGTTTGTAAGCGAAAGATTAAATAACCGACTTCAAAAAATCAACATCGTCTCAGGAACGACTCGCTGTTGATGTTTCCATTTTGAATAAAAGCTGAAACTTTTCATCAATAATATTCTTTCTAGAGAATATGTAACATGGAGTATATAATAAGAATCGCATGAGTGCTTACGCTAGAAACTGCCAGTGATTAATTGTTTTCAGCTGTACTGTGAAACAATAAACTATGAGAGCAAGGATACCTTGTTTCTCAATGAGTTAAAACAATTACCTTAATTGTTTTATCAAGCAACTTTACAACAACAGGCATATCAGTGGTATTCTACGACCAACATATGCAACAAAAAGCAGCCAGTGAAGGCAGCAGTGGACAATAGTACGAAGTCGTTGGGGAAATTGTTCCCGTTTATGGAGAAATGCTTCACCCACACATAAAGTCATGCATAACAAGGAGAAATGGAACTTAGAGAGAAATGGTTTTTCTTTCAGAGGGGAATGGTTCAACAAGGAGAAATGGAAAGAAAGAAAGAAAGAAAAAATATATATATATATATACATATAATCTATTATATGGAAAAATAAAGAAAACCTAACTCTATCTCTATTAGATGAAAAAAAAATGATTATTTCATTAGAACGATATAAAATTAAAGGAAAACTACCTCTATCTCTACTAGATGCGGAAAATGATTGTTTTCATTAAGATGAACTGAAAAATAAAGAAAAACTATCTCTATCTCTACTAGGTGAAAAAACGATTATTTTCATTAGAATGAAATAAAATTAAAGGAAAACTATCTCTATCTCTACTAGATGAGGAAAATGATCGTGTTTATTAAGATGGAATGAAAACTAAAGAAAAACTATCTATATCTCCACTAGACGAAAAAAAAAAGATTTTTCTGATTAAAATGCAATAGAACTAGAGGAATCTTAACTCAATCCTTACCATATAAAAAAAATGATTATTTTTATTAAAATGGAAAATAACGTAAGGAAAACTAACTCATTTCACCAGCTATTTTAACCATTTCATATGAAAAAAATCCATATCTGCTAGAAAATCCTATATAAGAGACAAAATAAAATAATCGATTTCTCTTTGAATAAATCCATTTCTCTGTATAAATAGAGAAATGGATCAAAATTAATTATCCATTTCTCTACACTTTATTTCCATTTCTCCTTATAACTGGAGATATGAATGAAGGATTTCCTCTTAAAAAATAACCGTTTCTTATGGTATATAGTGAAGTATTGATTTGTATTGAAGGGGAATGCGATGTTGAAAAAAGAATTTCTGCTTAACTATTTGAGGTTAAACCATTTCTTCTAGAAGTGGAACGGTTTCTCTATGAAGTGGGGAAATGGTCCACCCGTCCATAAGAGCATATCTATTCTATTGTGTCATGTGTCTGTTTATTCATAATTCTCATTCTACACTTGACTAATTCTTATGAATATTGAGTTCACTCGACAGCTTTTTTTTTCAAAACAATTACAATCGATATCTAACTCGAAAGAAAATGCATTTATAATTATCTCTGTCGTGTTTCTAATGATTAAATTTGCGAAGTTCAAAACTGATCATTTAGCGCCGACGCAGTAACTGCTAGAGGTTAAGACGGCTCTAGTGATTGAAGGGGATGAATATGCCGCTTATAATCAGTGATGGAACCGTGTATGTAAATTATATTTCACAGCTAGTAACATCACTGATCCAGCTGCCTCAATAAAATGGTAATAAGCGAAGAAAGCATATTTTGGCAGGCTGCTCTTGATACAGCTACCTATTTTGCAGGTTGTGACGGGATATATCAAACATTTGAGATTTCTTTCTTAACAAAAGAACATAAACATTCAAATTGACTGACGACAAGAGAGAGAGATCGTAACAATTTATCCCTATACTACTGTTCTGTTTTTTCGGGTATATTTTTAAATTCATTTCACTCACATTACTGATATAGTAGCAGAATATTCTAATGATTTGAGATGAACACGTTGTCAAATTGGCAGTTTATGTGAGAGGTTGAAATTACAAGCTTCATACTCCCAGTAACGATTTTGTACTGCAACAGCGATCAATGCATTTAACTCTTTGATTGCATTCAAAATACCACAGAAATAATGAATTCAGTCCAATTAAATTCGATTCAGTTGAATCACATCGAATCAAATTGTTGAAAATTTTACTGAGTTTTCGGTCTCTGATGAATACTGACGTTTTCCATCAAAAAATTAGCTTCGCAGGAAAAAAGTCGATTTTCAGATCATTTGAGATCGTCGCTCTATTTTGAAACACTGCTTAGGCTTCACCTAAAACTATCTACATTATATAAAAAAAAATTTTCTATGACAATGAATAGTGATAAATAGTACCACTACAAGTACGATTCCAATTACAACTGCAAGTGCAGCTATAATTTTAACTACAAGTGCAGCTATAATTTCAACGACAAGTGCAACCACTATCCAACAACTAGGTAAGCATTAGTTTTAAAGCTTTTTGACCTTACTAAATACTTTTTTAATCAAATACATAGTTGCTTTGTATGCAATATTCCTCTGCAGCTAGCTAAAATTTTAATTGATAAGATAAATGATCTTATATCATGATTTATTCAATATTTATCATAAGTAAAAACCAAGTTATAGTAATTTTCATGTTGGTTATTTTTCGTCGCTTATCGAAGTTTGATTCATTTTGTTGAAATCTATAAAACAAAATTACGATTGACCAACAAGGTTTTGCAAATTTCAAATGATCTAACTCCCCTAACATGTTTTGAACCGAGGTATATTCGATATTCTCTTTTCATCGCGCCCCAATTGGTTCACAAACGTGTCAGTGAACAAACAGGTGCTTCAATGGAAAAAAAACTGATTCAACTACTCATCTAATTAATGTCATCGTTTTTGTAGCAAATGGATTTTCATACGAATGACCATTTTTTTCCCTATAGATCATTCGTTGATCGAGGGCATCTATTCTTCATTGCTGTGGATGTATATGTTACGTCGGTGCAGTGAGGACTCACACTCGCCCAACTTGATAAAAGCTTAACGTTACCGTATGGACCTCCCTGGGTAAAACTCTGCTTTCCATGTGGCGAAAGAAGTCTGCACCTGGTACTTATAGAAAGCTAACTAAATTATTATGTTTTCCTATGGAGAACTTGAATAAGAGACACATTAGCCTTTTCAGTATTTTGAAAGCGGAAAGTGTCAGATTCCAAAGATCCTTCATAGGATCCTGTCAAATTTCCTCAATTTTCTATGCATAGAAACTTTCTTATGATCTTACTAGGACCACATGATAGTCTTCCTATGAACAGCTTGATATAAGTTTACAAAAACCTCTATTTAGTCACACCTAAATACTCTATGCGAATGTTAATGCCAACCCCTCGGCAGATTTGCATTTATTATCCAGAAAAATCATATGATCAGGAATTTTCTTCAAGCAAGTAAAAAGCATCTTAACAGATATTTACTGTTAACGATGCCTATTTGTTTCCCAAGCAGTCGAAATCGTATATTTGAAACTATGAATAGAATCATCTGATCTTTATATTTTCTTATAGAGAACTTCCATAGGGTTAGTATTAATCATTTCAATATCTCAGAAATGATTTTTCCCGAAAAACTTCTTTCCAGAAATCTCAGCGTACAAATTCTAATCCTTCATAAAGATTCTACGGTTTTTTTTGGGATATAAAAGATGTTGGCAAGAACCTGAACAAGTCACTGCAAAGACGAATGTTCATAAAAATCGTTGCAAAATTGTTTTTTTTTTGCACAGAAAAATTAGGAAAAGTTTCTCTAATTTATATCTGTGGAGGAGAACTTTTTCTTGTTTAGAATCTATGAGAAAAAGAATATTCTTGAATGTTTTACCAAGTTATCTTCGAAGAAGAAGAATGTCTTATTTGTAGGCAACAACAATGATGATTTCTTTTCTGTTTCTCGTTCATTGTAGTGATTCCCAATATTCCAGTTAATGCTCGATGGGCACAACAAGGTGTTACTGTTGCTGGGGGCCATCAGTCTGGCAATGCCACCAATCAATTCTTCTATCCCAAGGGTCTCTTCATTGATGATGATGATCAAACGATGATTATCGCTGACACATTGAATCATCGTATCATCCAATGGAAGACGGGTGATGTAAATGGACAAGTGGCAGCTGGTGGTCATGGCAGAGGAAATCGATTGGATCAATTGAGTTGGCCTATTGCTGTGGTGATCGACAAAGATACGGATAGTATCATTATTTGCGATGACAACAATCAACGAGTCGTACGATGGTCTCGCCGTAATTACACAAGTCAAGGAGAAATCCTCCTCGACAACATCAATTGTTTCGGATTGGCCATGGATAATCAAAAATATGTTTACATTTCTGACACTAGAAACCATGAAGTAAGACGATATAGAATAGGAGACAAGAATGGAACTCTTGTGGCCGGTGGCCATGGCGAAGGTAACGGTCTCAATCAATTCAATGGTCCGACGTACATCTTTATTGACCAACAACATACTGTCTACGTGACGGACAGAAACAATCATCGTGTAATGAAGTGGGATAAATATGCAACAGAAGGAATTGTCGTCGCCGGGGGTCAAGGCAAAGTAAATGCCTTGACACAATTGTCATTTCCTTACCAACTGTTTGTTGATACGTTGGGTACTCTCTATGTGGCAGACTCGGCGAATCATCGAGTGATGCGTTGGTTCAAAGATGCGAAACAGGGTACTGTTATTGCGGGTGGAAATGGTCCAGGAGAAAGAGTCCATCAGTTGCACTACCCCTATGGTTTGTTCTTTGATCGACATGGTAATCTATATGTCACTGATAGTGAAAATCATCGAATTCAACGTTTTTCTATTGCATAGACTCATTACGATGGATTAATTTTTTTTCTTTTCTTTTCTTCAATAAATCATATTGAATTGCTGAAAGCAATCGCTATTCTATTCACAAGCGTGCAACCAGAAACCACCCTAGTGAAATTGTGGTGAGGGTATGGCTGTCGGTAGGTGTGAATGTGGGAGTTCATATCATATTCTCTTTCATTCACGTCCTCAAACAGCCCCACATCCACCTCACGATCACTTTGGGTGTGATTGTGAATGGTTTTACATCATATCCATACCAAATTGGGTGTGAATCTTCATCAAGCGACACTAATACTCGCATCCTATCAACATCTACTATTTTTAGTATTTAGAAAGTTTCGAAATGTTGACTAATTATTGTAGGCATTATTATTCCATCCCATATAAGAGATATTTAGAAAGAATGGTAAATGAGTCCATTTTTTCTGGCTAGTTACTCGTGTAAACTTCTTATTTTAGTTGAATTGATAAGTTTCTGATAGAAAAATATTCTTGTCTTTCGTAAAATCAGCTACATAATTTGAAGTGTTTCTCAATAATAAGTTATAATGTCAGTTATAATTATGATGAAATGGTTGTGCCACTTGTTCGTCGTATGTCATATCTGGAAAAATTAACTTTGTATCTTTGCGTTCAGAATCGAAATTCATTAATCGATGGTACACATCTTCATCTCTTATATTAGTACAGATAATTGTATCCATGGTTTTGTTCATTATGTATCTGCTGATGGCATTCAAGGAACACTTACAACAATTGGTTATTAATAAACAGCTTGTGTCGTACATTACCTCGACATCTTCAAAGTCATATGTCATTTTTTCTCACTCTTTATTCGAATTGGTCAAGCTTTTCCATTGCTTAAATATTTCTCTATAATGAATTTTATTATATAAACATCAAGTGATAATGAATAAGAATGTGATGACAATCTATCAAATTCAGTTTAGGAATATTCTCATCTTACATCATTTGATATTATGTATATAAATATCAAGTATGTTGAACTATTTCTAGTTGAAACAAAAGTAAATCTATCTTATCTTACTGATTTAAAAGTCAATTACGAACAACTAAAACCTATAACAATAAACTTTACAAGAGATGCAACATGACACAATTCTTTCAAAGTAAAAGTATTAGTTTTTGAACAATCGAAAACTGTTTATCAATATTTTCCTTTCGTTGAAAAAATGTATTTTTTGATGATGAGAATGTCAATAAAAATGAAATTGTTATTCATTAGTGAAATGATGTATATTATTGACAACATGTGACTATGGATTTCTAAAAGAAAACTACTAAAATAGTTTTGTAAAGTGTGCGAAATATTCCTACATGGGAGACCACTGAATAATGATCGAACTAAATCTTTTTATTCTACGTATGCAGAGAGCTACTAAGTGAAGATTTTATTATTATGATTATACTAATGATAACTCAATGATATTTAAAAAAAAGCTTGTTACCGTAGCTCTTTGCGGCTAAAATTTGGAACTCACATATTATATTGACAGTAAAATATATTTTAGGTTCTCTATATGCGTAGTAGTATTACTACGTCACACTATTCTTGGAAAACTAAAAATCATGTTCATTTTCGAAAATTGTAGTTAGAAAAAAAAATGTCTCTAGAGAAATCAGTATTCGAATTCTTATTAGCCTTTACGATAATAGAAACTAAAATTTAAAATAAACCTGTTGGAATAATTTTTAGAATTACTGTATAAAAATAATTTAAGTATATTACAATGAAAATATATTATTCATTCTGTGTTATATGTGAATGTAAACGAGCTATTGTTTATAACATTTTTATCTATTAGCCAAAAAAAAATGATTGAGATCAATCGATTTCAAAATGATGATACACTAGCAAGAAAATTTTCATCGGATATTTTCGTTTGATAAACAAAAAAAGAAAAAGAAAAATTGCAATTGTGTGTGAAAATATGAATTTTTCATCACAGTATGATTAACTTGTTAATAGTATTTAATTAACATCGTTGCTTTTTTTATGTTTAAATGCATATACATAGAAAAATGAACGAAAAATAATAATAAACTAATTAACAGACCTATTCACACTCTCACCGGAAGAATATAAAGTTGGAATTTTGGTAAACTATTATTAGCTAAAAATAAACGCCAATCAACAAATTTTTGATGAGAATAATTATGTATAGTTATAGTTGATTGTTCATCAGGATATTTTTCAATTTTTGATGATGTTTTTATATGAGGTATAGATGGTCGAATAAAAGGACGATTAGCTGATTTACACATCATTGCTGAAGATGTGCGTGGCCGTTCAATAGATATACATTGATTAATTTGTAAAGATATTTGTTCAGATATTGGATGTAACCATGCAGTTCGTAATAATTTTATCCATTCAAGATCAAGTTTAATAGCATTGATTTCAGCTTCTTCTAAACTTAATTTCCAATTGAAATCATTCTAAAATAAAATTTCAAATTTTAATATCAATAATTATGTGAGCTAAAAACTAATGAACGTTTTCTTTTTAAGATATACAAAAAAAAACCACTCATATTGAGTTATGCAATTTTGTAAGGGACCAATCTATATTCAAAGACAATGTCATCATCTCGATATTTTTTCTACAAATAGTAATAACTGTAGTTTTGGATAGAAGATTAGCCTAACTCCTCAATTTTCAGTTGTGTACGATATGATAACGTACGATCATAATACTGCACCTACCAAACGTCACTTTACAGATATTTACGACTGCTAACTATATGAAACAAGTGTCTTGACAACTGAATATCTTATCATTTTTCTATGCATCATATTAGGTTTATATTTTTCTCTATGGACGAAATTCTAGTAGAAAGTATTTGATTTAAATTTCCATTAAATATCTAAAGATACATAGAAAATTCAGTATAATAATCATAATGATATTTTGATAGCTTACATCAGTTGTCGTAGTTCTTTTGTAAAGGAATTAAAAAAAAAATTTGTAATTAATTAGAAATGAGAAATTAACTACAAATTTGGATTCCTCGACTGCAAAAGCCTTCAATCAAACTTTGTAACAAAAATTATTTCTTTCTCAAAATAGCTTTTGTTCAGTAAAAAAGAATCAAATCTACGAAGTTTCCGTTACTTGACAATTGTAATTTCTTAACATTAAATGAGATTTATTTTTGTATAGTAAAAATCATTTGAATAATAGTTTCAACAGCTTTTTTCTTATTTTCTACAAAATGAAATCTCAATTTTTTTTCAAAACTATTCAAAAATTGAATACATTTAAAATGTATTGTATGTTATCACATAGTAAATTCTTAGAAAATGATTTCTAATTAATATTATTGAAAAATATTTACATCAATAGAATATTGTTGTTTTCGTTTATAATCATTAATTAGTCTATCATAATAAGCTTGATAAATAAAATATCTTGTTCTATTCCATGGTATTAAATTATTATTTATATTATATTCAATAATATTTAATAAAAAATAATTTATTGTTATATTTTCTTCATATTCTTTAGTATGATACCAATATAATAATTGTGTTTCAATTAATTTAAATAGAGCACGTTGAAAACGAAAATCAATATTTGATAAATGCATTTGATCATATTTTATTTGATGTATAACTAATTGAAAATGTATTTTTGACATATTTAATTTTCCTAATCGTATATAAATTTGTGATAATGTACAATCACTATAAAAAATTAATAAACTTCGTTGATTTGGTCCTGTAAGAAGTTTTTTACGATATTTTGTTATATTTTCAAGAAAATCAATTGTTATTGGCATAAGTTCATAACCAAGTTCAATAGCAACATCAATAACTAATATATAATACCATAATTTTGCATATGAATTCATTGTTTGTTCACTTAAATATTCTAAATGTTGTAATATTAATTCAATATTTGATATACGCATTTCACCAATTAATGCTAATGTTAAATGTATACATGTTTCAATAAGAAATATATTTTCATGATAACCAGTTAATAAACGTTTAGCAAAATAACCTGATAATATAGCTGATTCAATTGAACCTTGTTTTAATTCAATAATTAATGATAAACTTTTTAATTTACCTAATTCAAGTTTTTCACGTGATGTTATATATGGCCACCAAAATGTTATAAGTTTATTAATAAGTATTAAACATTGATTATAATTCATTTGACAATAAAAATATTCAATTAAAATTATTGTACATGGAAGAGAAAATGATATTGGATATATATAATATTGTAAATTAATTAAAGTATTTATTGATTCAATTGATTGATCACGAGAAAGTTGATATCGAAGAAGATGATATTGACATATTAAATATTCAAGACGATATTTTTCAATAAAAATCGATAATTGATTTGACTGCTAAATTATTTAAGAAGAATGAGTTAAATACTATTATCATCTTCAAGAAAAAAAAAACATAGAAACCTAAAATTTTCACCATTCAAGAGACAAAAGACAGTGATCCACTTATATATATGCCGAAATCTAACTGATCAATACTAGAGGGAAACGGCAAACTTGAAGTAGAAAAGTACAACAGTAGTTTAAAGTACTTTTAAATTACGTTAAAGTACTTGAAAATTACGTCTAAGTGCTCCAAAGTGTTCTGTTTTGGGAAAAGTTTCACAGAAACAGAACAGTTTTGTTCAGTTATGGGAATGGTTCCCAAAATAGAACAAAAATGTTCTGTTATGGGAATGGGCTCCCAGAAACAGAACAAAAGTGTTCCGTTTTTGGGGAGTTCATTCCCATAACAGAACACTTTTGTTCTATTTTTGGACCATCATTTCCATAACAAAACACTTTTGTTCTATTTTGGGAACTCAAAGTATTCAAAGTACCTCAAAGTAGTTCAAAGTAACTTGAAATGCAAAAGTCTTCCGTTTCCCCTAGGATCAATAACTGAATAGTCCAGGTAAGTTCTCGGCGGAGATTTTGACAATAAAAATACTCTTAAACCATTTTCCATGTGTAAATCATAAGAGAAGAACCGTTTCTATCATTTGGTAGATGAGTTCGTTGAAAAAATTAGATTTCGGCATACTTATTTGGTCCAGAATCTTGAAAACTTCAGGTCTCTATGTAGTTCCTATCCAAAGTTATTTAGAACATAGTCAGAGCCATTGTTTTTTTTTTGAAAACGATAGAAACCTGTTTGACTCATTCTAGATTCGATGAGTACGGGCTTCACATAGACACGTAGATCAACAATTCAATAGTTAAGACAATAAGTTGATTTCTTTTTGTTTTTGATTACTTACTGATGTTTGAGAATTAAAACTTTTATCTAATAAATAATCTTTTGTTTGTTCATATTGTAATCTTTTTTCTTTAGCTGTTGAATAATTTAATAAATCTGTATTAAATATTAAATTATCCCATAATTGATTTTGATCAATATCATTTAATTCTTTTAAACTTTGTTCACATAATAATTTTGCATCATAAATTGATCTTGTACGTTGTAAAACAATAGCTTCAAAAAGATTATATGTATATTTTGTAAGTATATATTGATATTTATAAAAATAATCATCTTTATTTAAAATATCATATTGATATTGATTAAAAAATTTTCGTCCATTTTCAATTTCAACAAGTAAACGTTGTAAACAATTTGAACGTAATAATAATTGACATATTTCAATACGATAATAAATAATTCTATCAAATTGTTTACAACGTAAATAATTACGTTTATCATCAGGTAATTTTTCATACATATTATATAAATTTGTATGATATTCAACTAATTTTATATAAATAGTTAAAATATAATCAATACATTGACATAAACGTAAATCATTATAAATTATAGATTCATTTAAATAATCATTTAAATTAAATATAATTTGTTCTTTTTGTTTTGTTTCATAAACATATTCAATTAAATTTTTATAATGTATATATGATTGAAATATATGAAATAAAAGTGATTGATCATAAAGATTTTGAAATGTTCGTATACGATAAATTTGTTGATTTAAACAATTAAGATCATTTAATATTTGATTCATTAATTCAGATGATAACATTGGTTGTTCAAGTAATTCATTATCACTTGGACAACTATGAAGAATTTTATTTGGTGGTGATGGTATTAATGCTTGACGAACTTTTCGCCAATGAGATGAACGTTTTTGTAAAATTTCATTTTTCTTAAATTAAAATTATTAATGAGAAATTTTTATTAATGATATTCATCATATCAAAATTGTTAGAATTATTCAAATAATTCTTTTCATATAGGAATTGAACTATTCGAAAAGATTTTAAGATATGATCTAATTCGCTTAAACAGTTCTGTAATTCATTTGATGTACCAATATGAACTCAAACGATAGATTATAGACGAAATAGTTCTCTCATTGATATTATTATGTATAGCTTAATTGAACTATTTTATTATAATAATCAATACTCTAATATAAGATCGAAAATTTTAGTATTAGTAACATTCCTAATGAATAATTTTTGATTCATGTAAATTTTGAAATTTCTTTTCTAACTATTCAATAATGATCGTTTAATATTACCTGCGGAATACTATTTAATGTTGTAATTATATTAGTATCTTGTATTGAATTATCAATTAAATTTTTTGTAGATTGATTATTAACTTCTATAACTACTGATGAATTTGAATTTAATGGTACAAGTTGACAGAAAATAAATCGACAAAAAGTTCTCAAACGATGTAATTTATTTTCTTTGATTTTTTGTCTTGATTCTACAATTGTTTCATTTTCATTTGATTTAGTAGTTATTATAGATCTATCAAGTTTTTTTAATAATGGAGTTTTTGATAATGATGAATTAATAAATCGTCGTTTAGATAATTGAAATATAGTAAATATATGATTTGATATTGATGATGATGATGATCGTTGAATATCAATTTGCATAGGTGATGATATAGATTCTGTTATATTATTTTTATATGGATAATCACTAATTAAAGTTGAATCTGAATCAATCGATTCATGACGTATTGATTGATTGATTTTTGTTTCAAAATCATCTTCAATAAGTGCAAAAAATGAAGATTGAGAACGTCTTGTACGTTGAAAATTCAATCCACTAACATCATAACTATTACGACGTTTTTCTTGAATCTTGTTAGAGCTATTTTAATTAATAAAAAATAAAAGAACAAATTCTTTTATACATAGAAAATGGGGAAGTATCCTCATGAATTGAACTGATTAATATCATAGTTTAGCTTGTCGAATACTAGTAGAGCAAAAATTAAGTAAAGCGCCTATAACTCAATAAATAAAACTCGTAAAACTTTTTTTTTGTTTACTACTTATCATGTGCGATCGATTGGACAGTTCGGAGAATTTTTGCATGAGCTTAGAATAAATTTTTTTTTAAATTTCTGAAAACACCTTCAAAATTCATCACTATAAAAAATTCTTTAAAAATTTCCGAGATAAATCTAATTTCTACTTCGATCAATTCTATTAAATTTTCTAATTATTTCAATACCTTCTATTATCATTTTTATTTGAATTTCCAATAAGTGTTGTAATTGATTCTTTTTGTAAATGTGCTGATGTATTTGATCTTGGTTTTACAGGTGAACTCATTGAACGTAATCTCATTGATTGTTTTATTGTATTATCAATTTCTTTTAATGCTACCATTTTAACAATATCAACAAATGCATGTTGATTAGTTGTTTTAATATTTCTTGTAAGATCATCTTGTTTTTGTACAAAAAATGGATTATCATTTCTTGGTCCACATGTTAAACAAAGAATTGTACATTGTTTTTCAATATAATCAATTGCATTTCGTATTAATATACGTTTTAAACTATCTGTTAATGAATTATATATTCCTTCACGTATTGATACATGTGTAAATGTCATAAGACGACATTGTGATGGAAAACCACCTGGATTTTGTAAACAAAAACATTTTATTGTATGTGTTCTATGTATTTGTTGTTGTTGATATGCACATTCAATAACTGTTCGTTGCATCATATCTAATATACATGAATTAATATTAATTAATTTTTTTGATTGTGGATCAACTAATTGCCATAAAAATGTACGAGAAAATGTATTACCAATAACAGCAGCTATTTTAACAAGTAAACTTTCACCTTCAGATAAACGATCTATACGACACATAATATAATTTTGAAAATTTTGTTGACAATGAGATATAAAATCATTAGCTGTTGGATCACGTAAAAGACATATACGTGAAAAAATACGTTCAGTTTTATATTGTTCATTATTAATAATTTGTTTACGACGAGAAAATAATGTTTTAAATAAACTTATTTTATTTAATGAATTAATAAGAAGTTTATCAACATCACCTTCAATTAAATGTAAATCTTCATCATTAATTTCAATATTATTTGTAATATAAATTTTATCTTTACGTAATAGATCAAAAAGAATTTGTTCACAAAAACCTGGTATACCTAAATTATCAGAATACAAAAAAAAAAAGGAAATTCAATAAAACAATCTAGTTAATGTTGAGAATAAGAATGATGTACCAGATGAGAATGTGACTAATTCATGCTAATAGCCCTTTCGTTAGTATCTGAGAAAATGATTTTTACTAGAGATTAATTAAGAACTTGAAAAAGGTAGTTATTATTAAAGTGCCTTATCCTTTATGCACCATCTCTATTATAATATTCCTTAATTGTTTATCTTTTTTTCTACATAGAATAATCTAATATTTCGAATAATTTTCTTTGAGGAAGTATTTTTTCATACATTTCTTCTAATATTGTGATATACATACTCTTTAATCTTACTGATATCTACACTTTTTAATAGTCAAATATTTTATTCTTACCATTACAACTTTCATTAAGTATTTTAACAATTTTTGCTGGAATTTTATGTACAGATAATATTTGACATGCTACAAATAAATGAATATTTATATATATATATATATGTATACTAAATAAAACTATGAAATTTTTACCAAGTGTAGCAAGATAACGTAATTCAAGTCCAGGTAATCGTCGAAGATAAACACGTGAATCTGTCCTTATTGATTGTAATATATTTGTAGATGGTCGATCATTATTATTATTATTTGGTGGTTTCATTGAAAGAATTAATAAACATTTACTATGACTACCTAATATAAGTAAATGTTTAAGTGAACTTTCATCAGCAAAATGAATATCATCAATAATAAATAAAATTTTTGATACAGTTGATATAGAAGAAATAGGTAAAGTAGATATTGAACTTGTTGAACTAAAAAGAAAAATATATATATTCAATTATTAAATATTCTTATACATATAATTAATAATCATGTTTTTTTTTTGTTTTGTATAATATTATTATTCATGAAGATAAAAGATACAATAAAATATTCTTAAATTAATTAATTTCTCATACCTTAATGTAGATATTGCATTTATATTTGTTTCATTCATAGTTATTGATGGTTCAATAAGTTGATTTAAAATATGTAATAATAATTCATTAATATCTATTTCATATGTTTGAACAAAATTCTTTTCATTTATATTTTCTGTATCAATAGGACTTCGACGAAATCTTACATCAAGTAAATCATTTAATAAAAATAAATTTCGTCTTAAATATAAATCATTTGATTTATTTATATCAAATAATTTTAATAAATATTGTTCACGTTCATATTGTGTTTTATCATTATTATGAAATTGTAATAATTGTCGAAGTAATGAACGAAGTAAACTAAATTCATTAAAACGTTGTTCTAATTGACAACAATATTTAATAACACGTATTGTTGATTTTTTTATTGTTAAATATTCATTATTATAAAGATTTAATGATGATGATAAATTATATATTTGATTATCATTTGTTGTTATAGATATATTATTAGGAATTGTTGAATCATGAGGAATGTAAGTATTATCGAAACAAGATAGAACTAAATTATTATTTTCATTATTTAAATTTTCAAATGAATCAGCTATAAATTGTAATAAACGACTTCGACCAATTTTATCATCACCTAAATCAAATATATGCATTTCTAATATAGAAAGAAGTTTAAGGCATTTTAGATTTTTTTTAGCAATACTAGCTGAAAAAGCACAAGATTCTGAATAATATGATGATTCGGTATATTTATAGCAATCTTTTCTTACAAAATTAAACTGCATGACAAATCATTATGTGCTTCTGAAACTATAATACTTATGGAATTTCAAGAATAAACAATTACCTTCTAAATTGTTAAGCATAGAAATTTCATTAGAGGACAGACATGAAACCACTATGGATTTTTCAAGAACGGACCGATAGATCTGAAATTCATATCAATTCTGAACTAATGAGTTGTCACACTATTTCATCGAAGGATAGTGATATTTGACTTTTAATAAAGTTTCATGACACATTCTCTATGGGAGAGTAAGTGCAAAAAGGAATTAATACAACACATCTACAGGCCTCGCAGCGTGTGTACTTTCCTGATTTTCCTGCTTTTGTCCTGATTTTTCAAGATTTATCTCTGTAGGACCACATATACGTCATTTTGATGTTTTTTTGTTATACTCAACGTTTCTTAAAAATTTTATGAAAATATTTTGTTGAATATTTTCTACAAAAAGAAAGATGGTACTCAAATTTTTATTTTGTCCATTTTTTTCTTGTAATCACTTTAAGAATCGATTATTTCGAATTAATTGGTTTTTGAAAGCAGCTATTTTATCATTAGTAATTATCACCAGGACTTCAGCGGTATTTATATCATACAGTTCACGACCGTGCGTAGCTGCTTTAAATCTTGTATTCCTTTATTTTACTATTTTAGTCGATTTACTAAAGTTTTCTTGTAAACGCTTTTATTCGTTTATCTATAACATGGTGGTTTTATATGTGCGAAGAGCAGGGATATGAAAAAGAGGAAAAGTAGCAGAGAGGGGAAGGAAATGTGATGCAGGGAAATGGTTTGAGTGCCGAAAAGATGTTTATAGAACCTTAAACACTGCGAAAATGCGGATTTTTCTTATTTCTTTTTACGGCTATTTTCCTAATAAAAATGCGATTTCTACTAGAAACAAATAAGACTCCAATAGTGAAGGATGCCCCCTTCCGTAGGCCACGTATCTGAGAAAAAGAAAACGTATACACAATGCATAATTAGAGATAGCGAACGAAAAGGAAAAAAGCAGAACTCGAAGCACGTATTCGGCGAAATATAATATAGTAATTTCAATGAACTATCATTGATCGACATACTTTTGTGCAGCTTACATCCTGAACAATAGCACTATGATAAGACTTATAATGTCCTGATTTTTTTCTAAAATGTGTCCTGCCTATTTTCCTGATTTTCAGACATAGACCGCTGCGACCCCTGCATCTGTAATCGATATCGGGATTGGAAACATACAGTCGATACAGGACATTAATATCCAGTTCATGGAAATTTAGTATATGGTTGTTGTTTTTAATAATCAAACTCGAAACTGTCGTCTCTAATATTGAGACAGAATAAAAATTGTTTGGTATAGGCTGTAAATCTAAATTTTCCACTATGGACAATTAGAATTGAATTTTTTATCAAAATTTCTTTTCGTTTTTATCTAACCTTCAAACATAATAGCTGCAAGATCTCTTCGTCTATTTGAACTATTTAAAGGTTCATCTAATAATACAATTTGTGTTGCCACAATCATTAATTCAATTCTACGTCCTAATAATGGATAATTTTCATGTCTAATATCATCTATTATCATATTTTTATTTTGTTCAATTATTTGATTATTTTGTATTTGTATATTATCTAAATAATCACCATATTGCCAAATAATTCCAACATTATTCATACCCTAGAAATTTATAATAGAAAAATTCTTTGTTTTTTTTTTGTATAATTTTAATTTTATTTTATTTTTTTTTTTTTACTTTTAATATTTTATCGGGTAATATTTGAAAACATCGATTATTTAAATGTGAATTATAATATGTTTCTTGATCACATGATATTATATTTGGATAATTACACATTAAACGTGCAGCCATATTTACTTTTCGACCAATAACTGTATATTCACAACGTGCTATATGTCCAACAACACCACAATAAGTAAGACCTGTTGCCACCTAACCTAACGAGAAAAATTCTTAAATATTTTCATTTTTTTTTAAATTCTATTAACTTACACCAATTGAACATTTATCAATAAATTGACATTGTTTATGCATTGTTGAATGTATCATATAAGCACATTTAAGTGCATTTGCTGTATCATCACCTTGTTTATAACCAGGTAAACCAAAAACACATAAAAATGACCAACCTTTATCAAATAATAATGCTTTAGTTAAAACACCACCCATCATTTTTGTTAATTCATATATTTGTATAAAAACTTTTTGAACATTTTGACAAAGATTATTATTTGTATATTGTTCATTTGATATATCAAGATTAATAAATGTTATTGTTACACGACGTAATTCACTTAAATAATCTAAAGATTGTTGACGTTCAATACGTTGATATACACAACGAAGTAAAAATGATTTCATTAAAGTATCAATTTTATTATAAAGTTCTTTATCAATTACATCAGTTATTAATGAAGATGATTGATGATTTGGAATATTATCATGATCATATAGATGATTATCATTAGATATTTCTTGATATGAAATATTCTATAGGGATAAAAAAAAAGACAAAACATATATATATATCAATTACAATCAGTCAATATTAGTGGCAAAACCAGGATTTTAACGGTGGAGGGGCTCAAAGCTTTGGTGATGAGACTTAGCCCCACCTGGCCACCCCCTAGTTATGCCACTAGTCAATATCACGGCTTCAAATTCAAGAGATGAGTTCTTCTGATAACATTATGTCAGAATGATTGATAAATAAAAAAAATGTTCACTTTCTTACATCTTCTCTTATTTGTCGAAACTATTTTCTAAATCAGATAAATTTAAACGTCGTTCTATAAGTTTTCTATGCTGAAATATCTTCACTTAAACAAGATCTGTTTGTATTCAAAATATGAGACAATACAATACATACAATTTTATCATTGATTTTTGTTAGATCATGACTATCATCTATGAGTTTAGAATATTTTACAGCAATATGTTGATTAATATCATCTTTAATTGATATAAATTCACAATTAAGTTTTATTGATTGAATTTGTTCATAAACTGCTCTTGTTATAATAATATCTCCTGGTTCACATAATTGTTCACATATATTTACATCTTTAACACAATCACCTGCTAATATATAATGTTTAAATTCATCTGTACCTATAAATAATGCACGTACAGGTCCATATGCAAGTGCAATTTTAAGACGTAATACTACTCCAACATCTGTTTCATATGATCCACATTTTTTTTGTAAATATAATGCACATTTTAATGCTTGTTCAGGTCCATTTAATTCATTTGTCCATAAAGCAAGTATAGCATCACCAGCAAATTTATATATATCACCATTAAATATTAAAATTTGTGAAACAAGTTTATCAAAATATAAATTTAATGTATGTGTTAATTGATCAATACCTAAATGTGCATCATTTGAATATTGTTCAGTTAATGATGTAAAACCGGATACATCAAGAAATAATAATGTTATTTTATTATACATATGTTCACTGGGTATAAAAATATTTCCTTTTTGATCAATTAAATCATTTAAATTATTTAAAACAATATCTGGAATGTGTGCTTGAACTTGTTGTCCAATAGATAGTATTTCATCATCTTGTTCTTCATCTTCAATTATATCTTCATTTGTTGTTGAACCTATATGTAATGTTGCAACAACCATTTTAACTGTATTTGTTGCTAATGATGGTAAACATCGATCTCTAAAACGATGTAATGTTTGTTTTCTTCGAGTTTTTTTTGTTAAAAGTTTTGTTTTTGTATGAATAATTTCATTTGATGGATATGAAAGATATTGTTTTGAATTATCCATAGTAATCATAGAATCTACACTTTAAGAATTGAAAATTTCAATATATCATTATAAATAAATCATATATATTTATTTTACGTTCGATGAAATGATAAAAGGTTATTGATAAAAATAACGAAGTGTTAATAAAAAAGTATAGACAAGAAAAAGAAAAATGATGATAAACTATGTGCTTCTTGGTACAGTTTTTTTTAACAGTTATGATAGTACACAACTTCTATGTCTGCCTGTATAGATATGTATATATATATGATGTGTGATTTATTTATTGATATTATTTTATTCTCATATTGATGATATCACTCATGACATATCTATTTATTCTATTTTTGCTTCCTTCTTATTCTTTTCGCCTTCTGTACGTTATTGTGAGTATGTATATTCCTATATTTCTAGTGGAAATCTTTCTAATCTAATCTTTTTAATAGAAAATAATAAAGAATAAATGCAAATGTAATAAATATAAATATAAATATACATATTTTTGTTTCATTTCTATTAAATCTTCATCTATTTTGTAGAAATTCTGACATAAATGTTTGATGTCCTTAGTATTATGTTTATTCTATAATAATAAAAAAAAAAGAGAGAGAAATATAGTTCTACAGCTAGTCTCATTCTTTTCATCCCTACAGAGACACACTGAATTGCTTCCTATGTTGCATCCAAACAAATGTTGTTAGCAATTGACATTGACGGTAATAACAACGACATTTATTCCTTCGAGCATATATCTTATATTGTACGTAAGCATATAGATATGATTACAGGTAGGTATTCTCATGTAAGGAAAGAAAAAAGAAAACAAAAAGATCAAACATGACGAATTCTTACAAATGCCAATATTATTTGATCTATTTGTTCGCTAATCAGAATTGGCATATGCATGTAAACAAGTTTTCGACAAATGATTATTACCATATCATAAAAATAATAATAAGAAGAAAAAGAAAAAGAAAAATTCACGATTGATACACGTAAAAGAAGAAAAGAATGGTGTCTAGTGATGATTTTGACTGTCGACACATATATACGCTCTTATCTAATGATAGAGTCAGACAAGACTCGATGAGAAGCTTATAAAATACCATTTGCTATAGTCTCTTGTCAAATGCTACCAACCAATGTTCTTTTGTTTTATTCTGATAATCATCATCATCATCAGTCATTTACTGACTACAAGAAAGAAAACTCAATAGATCCAAGAGAAAAATAAGCGCCTAATATATATATATCCTTTCGCTCTCTCTCTCTCTGTTATTCTATTTTGGTATATTCATGGAATACACATGCCAAAGAAATTGATTGGTGAAAACAAATCAAAGACATTCACAAATCTATAACTATCCCTATCAAAAAAAGTACTTTTATCGATATTATAATAAACAAAATAAAAACAATGAAATTGATTAAGATAGATCAATTTACTATTCATAAAAACAAAAATCAAAACGAAAGACAATCATCCTTGTTTAAATATTATTATAATCATATATTTTTTTGTCAAATTTGCTAATTGTTGTTAGCCTTTGAAAATGTAATAACATGCAAAAAATAACTTATACAAACATTTTAGCTTTAATCAAAGAATAGTATGCACAACAATTATTTTAATATCCATCAAAATAGATTTTCTTTTTCTTTCACTTGATATAAAATTCATTAGGCAAAAATCATGATCAAGCTTTAATATAAAACTCATGTTATTCAATCATACATATTTGCCATATGCTTGCATATGCATATGCATATCTTTATTTGTTAGCTATGTTTTTTTTTTCTAATCATATGTAATAATCATAACTGTCATGTTTTATAGCCTTAAGCCATATGATAATCTTTTCTATAGGAGAATATTTTTCGAAACAACAAAAAAAAAAAAAAAATTGGAACATAATCTATTTATAATCATTCACAGAATTTAATCTGCATAATATTTATATTTAAATAATAATAAAACTTCAGAATAAAATTAAAAACAAAGAAAAGATATTTCGTTCTAATGTCATCACATATAATTGTCGAATTTCTATTGAAATTTTAAATCAACATTAATTTGTTGATAATAATATATATATATAGTTAATCTTTAGAATTCGTACGTTTAACAGGTAAACTTTGTCGAGTATGTTTAAGATATTTTTCAACTACAGTTGGAATATTTCTAAAAAGAAAAGAAATACAAAATTTTTTAATTCATTAAAAATATTTTTGTTTTTTTTTGTTACTTTTGACTACTATCAACACTTGCTGTATCTGTTTGTTCTAATAAATTTTTTCCTTTATCATTACCATTTGATATAGTTAAATTTTTCATTGAATCAATATCTTTATCTTTTGAATTATATTCAATTTCATTAGTAAAAAATTTATATTTTAAATGATTATTTTCTTCACAATTTGTTAAATCTTCATCATCACTATCATCAGGTGCAACATATACAACTGTCATTGTTATATCTCCTGTCTTTTATATATCAAAAAAAAACGAAATTTCAATTGAGAAAAATAAAAGATTTTTTTTGTTTTAGGTAACATACAATAGATGAAAGAATACGAACAGCTTCAGCATGTTTTGTATCACGTAAATCATGTTTATTAACAGTTAATATTGAATCTCCAACATAAAGTTGTCCAGAACGCCATACTAATCCACCTTCATGAATTTCTGATATAAGAATAGGTAAACCATGTTCTTTACCACCTGTTATTGATATACCTAATGCTTCTTTAGCATCTTTATGAAGTTTAATTGTACGTAATTCACCAACACCCTGTCGTTTTTTTAATGTATTGATATCCTATTTGATAATAAACATTGATAAAAGACAAAAAAAAAAGACAAATCTCTTACATGTCCAGGTGGTGTAGTTAAAATTTTATTCACTTTATCTCGTCCACGACATGCACGTATAACAGTTTTATGACGATGTAAATGAATTTCAGCTTCAAGTTGATTCCATAAATTTTCATGATTAGGTCCACGTAAATCACGACCAAGTAATTGTATTTGTTGAATTCTGTTTAGAAAAAAGAAACTCCATAAGATTAATTAAATACATAGTTTTTTTTTCTTCATTGTATATTATTTATCTGAATGAAATATTAAATTAATATAAATGTTTTTTGTAGTATAAATTTCTCAATAGAATCTCATAGAGACATGATTATTGTTTTTTTTCTTTTAAATCTTACCTTCCAGCTAATTCTTTATCAAGATATTTAGCTGCTAAACGTGATCCATAAATTTCTGATTGAAGATTAATAATTTGTGTTTTAAGTTGTTCATTTTCTTTTTCAAGTTCATGTACTTTAACATCTGATATTAAATTTCGTTTTAATTCATCACGTTGTTTTGTTATTTGATCGTTCTAAGAAAAAAAAAGAAATTCTAAGAAAAAAAGCAAAACTTTATGAAAACAAATATACAAACCAATCTTTTTCGTATTGTATCTGCACCTTCAATTTCACCTTGATTTTTTAATATTTGACATTCTAATTGTGATGTTTGTAATTGAGCCATTGCATCTTTAATTTGTTGTTCTAATACTTGTTGATCAACTTTAAGATTAACTATTTCTGATCGTGCATCAACTAATTGTGCCTAATTTAAGATTTATATTATTTTCTTTTTTTCAAAATATTTATTTCAATTAAAAATTACAAACTTCTAATTTAGCATTAGCTTCTGAGATTGTTTGTAATTTATGAATAAGTTGTGCAAAACATGTACTAAGTGTAGTCATTCGTGCTCGTCCATCATCAATAATTTCCGATTGATCTTCATCAATTTCTCCAAATAATAAATCAAGATCGACAAATGCTTTATCAAATTCTTTTTCAAGAATATCAAGCCAACGAAATGTATTAACAGATACGGACATTTTGAACAATTTATTAAAACAAAAAACAAAAAAAGTTATTTCTAAAAGAAGATTAAATAATTTTTTTTTTTTTGTTAAATTTATTTGTCATATAAGAAAACTTATACACTATAATATAACAATAACGTTCTTTGAATTATATTGTTTTCCGATTATATTAAATTTTAATAGAGAGCAAGAAAAAAAAATTATTGGATAATTTATAAAAAAATAGTAAACAAAGTGCTTTTATGCGACATCTAGACTTTATAACTTTATGATTTTGAAATTATAATCATATTTATAAAACATATAAAGACTGAATTAGAAGGAAATATTCGAACAATCAAAGTAATGAATATTAATTTAATGACAAGAAATGTAAAGTCGTTTTTTTATCAGGCATTAACCTCTACTAAAGGTAGATATGGATGAAGAAGTTAAACCTATAATGTTTATCTTATTAGAAAAAAAAAGACGGAAAGATTGAGATTTTCAGAAGACATAAAATTTTGACAAACAGGAATAGATAGAAATTATATGTTGTTTTCTTCTTAACCAATTAACTGAAACATACTACCTTCATAGTAGTTCGAGAAAAATCAGGTCTTTATGTAGTGTTATTTGATTTGTCGAATTAATGCGTGGTAGAAAATGTGGATTTAACGATATATGAAGCCTTGTTTGGTTTTTTTTTGTTCTTCGATCACATTATTGATTGGGCAAAAACAACATAAATCCCGTATATATTGTAATAATAGAGCAAAGGAAGCAGTAGACCGATAAAAAAATTAATGTTAAAAAAATATAGCAAGTCAAATAAACACCTGCTTTGTTTTGAGTCATTATACAACCGATTTTGTGTACATTACAAACACATTTTATATATGATTCAACTGTTGTACATGAAGATGTGGAGGACTTTTCACTTTCTATTCTTTAAAGAGTTTTAATCTTAAAATTAATTTGAATATTAATTGAGTTTTCGAATTTTCTACTATTTCATTAGTTTTTAAGGTTAGAAAACAATTCGACAGTTCTGATTAATTTTTCATTAGAAATGCACACATATTTCGATTATGATTTTATTTAGAGGCTGATAAAATAATATTATTTAAATTTATGAAACTATGTCGAATTAGATAG